ATTATAATTCTACTGCGTTATTAATAAAAGAAGTGGTTTTGTTTTAAAAGCTGATGTAAGTTGTTATATGATCCTCTGATACTAAAGTGTTATGTATCTGTTTATGTGTTACAACATGTTAAATTGTGATATCTCAAATGTGTTGGAAATTTTTTAAATACTCTTATTTTTCGTTATAACTACCGGGTAGAATTTGGGGTGTTACACAGTACACTTCTATTCTTTCTCTCAGCTATGCCATTATGTTGAGGCGTATAGGGTGCAATAAACTCATGCTTTATACCTTCCTCATTGCAAAATCTAGCAAATTCAGCAGAATTATATTCACCACCACCATCAGTTCTTAACTTCTTCAATTTGCAGCCACATTGTTTCTCAACATGCAACTTGAACTTCTTGAACTGTGTGAATACCTCACTCTTCCTCTCAATAAGGTAAATCCACATATTCTGGTGAATTCATCAATGAAAGTAAGGAAATACCTGTTACCTCCATTAGACTTTAATTTAAAGGGTTCACACACATCTGAATGAACCAGCTTCAGTTTTTGCCTTGATCTTATAGGCAAGTCACGTTTGAACGCCTTCCTTACCTGTTTGGCTTTGCAGCATTCCTTACATATCTGCTTTGGTTCCTTCACATACGGTAACCCAAACACCATTCTTTTCTTATTGAGCATACATAAACTCTTGAAGTTTAGATATCCATATATGTGATGCCATAGCCAGTTCTTGTCTTCTTCTGTAGTTGAAGCAAGACATTTGTGATATGATGTGTTAAGTTCAACCTTGAACATTTTGTTCTCCGCAAATGGTGCTTTTATTATTAGCCTCACATCAGCCCTATATACCTTCATCTGATTATTCTCCAACTTCATATTGAAGCCTTTTGCAAGTAATTGACCTACACTTATAAAGTTACTTATCATCGAAGGTACATATAAAACTTCAGTGGTAGCCTTTCGACCATCCTTTCTGATAATCAAAATATCTCCTTTACCACCTGATTTGATATGCCTGCCATCTGCAAACTTTATCACCTTTTCGACTAACTCATCTAACTTGGTAAACCAATTTTTATTGTCATTCATATGGTTTCTACATCCTGAATCCAGATACCACATGTTGTTTTTCTCAGTAGTCGACTGAGTGTTCACCAGCAACAACACATCATCAAAATCACTATCTCCAGCTTGTACATATTGAGCTTCATCACTATCTTTCGACCTTGCAGCTTTCTTTCTTCGACAGTCTCTAGCATAGTGGCCAAAACCTTGACAATTGTAACATTGCACCTCTTTCGTGTCAACTTTCTTCCCAGGATACTTGTTGCCCACACCTTTCGAATCAATATTCTTGCTTGAATTCTCATCACCAGCAAGATTCTTTCGCTCCTTCGACTTCTCTTTTCCAATTTTCTTGCTGAATCTTGATTGCAATGCTTGTTCAATCGCCTTCTCTCTTTCCGAGTTTCTCTGCTGCAGCCTCATTTCATGAGCCTCCAATGAAGCTTGAAGTTCTTCCAACTTCATCTCAGATAGATTCTTGGCCTCTTCAATTGTCACAACAAAGTAATCGAAATCTGCAATTAAGGATCTCAATACCTTTTCTATCTTTTGCAGATCCGTAAGCGTTTCACCACATGCCTTCATCTGGTTTGTTATCGTTACAACTCTTGAGAAATATGCAGAAATAGATTCATCCTCTTTCATCTGAAGCATCTCGTATTGCTTCCTCACTGTCTGTAATTTCACCTTCTTCAGTTTCTCATCTCCACCATACAAAGATTTCAGCTTTTCCCAAGCTCCTTTTGTTGTTTCTTCTTCAATTATCTTCTCGAATATGTCACAATTCACACACCGGTGAATCAAGAACAACGCCTTAAAATCTTTCTTCCTCTGATCTTTGTGCGTAACTTTCTGGGCTTCCGTAGCATCTAATTCCAGTTCTGATATTCCATCATTCAAGATTTCTACGATATCTTTAAATCTGAAAATAACCTTTATTTGCGCAACCCACCGTTGATAATTTTCACCTTTGAAAATCGGTAGATTCGCTGGAAATTATGTTGATGTTGTTGATCCGTTTGCCATTAGATTCTCTCTGAATCGCAAACAAGCTCTTGATACCAATTTGTTGGAACAAATGATTCAAGAAAGATGATTTTGTGAAAACAAGAAGAAGAAGAAGAAGAAGAAGAGAGAAATTGTGAGTTAGTTAAGTGTAACTAACTATCTAACTGAATATATTATTATTGCTCTATAATACTGATTACAAACATAATGACCCTTTATATAGGCAAAGTGCTCAGACCCAAATACACATGTTAAAAGCCCAAATATAACTGAACAAGAATTATACAACTAACATATATAAATATATTATTGAACTTTGTAGATAAAAATGTAAGTTAAAAGGTCTTGGGTTTAATATAACTATAAATCATAAGAATTATCTATCACTAATGTACGTTGACCTAGTGATAAATGCATATGATGTGGTTTAAAGGTCTTGTGTTCAATTATTTTTGAGAAATAATTTTGACTTTTTTGATGTAAAACCAATTTTAAAAAAATATTAACAGAGAGACTAATATGACTTGGTTAAATTTTGTAAGTTTGAGAAAAATATCAACACATACTAATATGGTCGGTTAAATTTTGTAAGTCATTAAATCAGATTCATTTTTTTTGTGGGGATTAATTTGAGGTTTATAATTTTTGTAAGAGACTAAAATAAATTTTCACTCATAATAAAAATTTATTTTTTCCCAACTCCTACACAACCTTACTGTAGTTTACTATTGACTTGGATATTACCTCGACAACAGAAAAACAAAAGGGTAAGAAGAGAAAGAAATAAGTGATAAAGAGAGATAGACAAGACATGTGATAAGATCTTTTCACGTATTTATCCTCACACAATAAATAAAAAATAAAGGTAAAAGCGTTGATGTGATAATAATAAATTCGATTTTGAATATAAAAATAGATATTAAGTCATTTATAAATAAGAAGACTAATATATCCAATGACGGATTTTTGAAAAACATGTGCTCATTTTTATGGTATGGTCACTCATAATTCAATGTGGTCATAATTCAATGTGGTGATCCTTCGTGTTTAAATATTTACAACCTAATTGTACTAATAGAGTCGTTGATTCTTCTATCATGTTGTATTGAAAGTCTTTATAACAATGTGACATATGTCTAATTGATGTTGTGTCAACTTAGTTGCCAGTGTTTATGATTCCTCTCACTCTATAGGGTTGAATACCCAAATGAAGGAATTTTGAGTTTGCTGCCTTTATAGCAGCAAAGTTACCGTGTCTTTTGGTATAGTCAATCAATTTGTTATATAAAAAAATTAAAATAAATAAAATAAGATAATGAGAAAAAATTTTGATAAAAGAAAAAAGCACAACGGCATGGTGCCTTTGCCACCATAAAGATAACAAAACCCATCCCCAAATGAAGGGCTAAACTCACATTTGTAAAAGAAATTACTCAATCAGTAGAAGGCATCGATGAATAATGACTCTTCCGAATAACTTAACCAGATCATACGTTTCACCAAAAGAGTGCTAACTGCTACTTAATAGCCAGAGAGAGGTACTCAAAACTGGAATTCCAGTTCGTACTCAGAGAATCTAATCTATGGCTTTTCATGCTACAATAAGGCCATGATATATGTTCGTACTGATGTTGACTAGCGTTGGAGAAGGCAATTTTGACTTCTTACATAGCCAGAAAATCACAAGTGTATATGAATGACATAAGTCAATTCATGACAGCTTTCCATACTAAATAATAGTATAAACTAAACAATAAGAAACTAATATTTGCACAAAAAATATGAAGATAAAAGTAAGCATTAAGGTTTTCCATTTCAATGATGTTATATTATTATAGTATAGATGAAGTTCAACATAAAGATTTATTTAAAGAAAACTTTTGTTCACATATGATAGTTGAATATATCCATTTTCTCTACATAACAAAATAATTTCCCATATATTCTACTCTCATAAATAAAAGCCGCAAAGGAAATCCTTTTATTTTTTATGCAAACATTTAATACACATTTAACATATAAAATATACTCCATTTTATATAAAATTTGTAACCTTAAGAATCCATCAAGGAAAATTGTGTTAACAAAGTGGTATAAACTTCAAAAAATTTCCAAATTTATCATCTAGATCACATAGTCACATTCAAGATTTCAAATAATATTATGTCGAATGCGACTAAACAATATTAATATAGATACAAATATTATTATTTATCATCTTTGTAATAAAAAATAAATTGTGATTAATTCACTCTTCAACGATTACATTATCTATTAGAACATTTGTACAAACATCACCAAAATCTTGGTCGCATTTTATATATATATATATATATATATATATATATATATATATATATATATATATATATATATCCCATCACACCTTCATTTTTTCTTCTTTTCATCACTCGACAGAGGTGTAAATATCTTCATCATTCTACATAGGTGTAAATGTGATGTGATGAATCTTATTACACTCATAGGTGTATTCAAAATCGATAAACAAAGCAAATTAAAACATGAAAAGGCACATAAATAAAGGTGGTAACCAATCTGGTTAATTTATTCATCATGCGACTCGCAAGTTCATTGAAACATGTAACTATATTGTTATAACTAAAGAAAACCTCAAAAACATGTAAATAACCAAAGATATAAAATAGCCATGTTCATATATATCATAATCCATATAATAATACTACTAACAATGAACAAGGAAAGTACGTAAAATCCCAAAGATTATCCAATTGAAAAATCAATGAGACTGTGCTAAAAAAACAAGTAAATAACATGACTCAAAATCCACTAATAAATCACCATCTTCTTCCATAAATTAACACTGACCTTCAAAATAATCACTTCCAACTTCCAACTCCATCATCATGAACAAAACATTATTCATTGAATGATAAATTCTAAATCTTCAAAAAGGTTGACGTGAAGATGAGTTGTTTCCCGCCCAAACAGCACCGTCAACAGGCAACTGAACATTCTGCATATTCATAGGGAGATTGAAAAACGGCAAACCAGAAGATGGGTCCGGAAATGGACTAGTATTCCCACCTCCACCGGCACCGGCACCACCACTTCCAGAGCCTTGAGAACCACCACCGCCAGCAACTTGCTGCATCTGAAGCTGTTCCTCTTCATCCAAAGGAAGCCTCTCATAAGCCACATTAGTAAACGAAGCAGCAATCACAATCACCGGCCCCGCCGCAATGAGTTCACCAACCACATTTCCTCCGACGACCTGCCCCTGACCTCCTGCAAGATAAATCGTCAAACTAGTAGCTCCAGGAGGAGCCGGCGGAGGCAGAAAAGATCCAGACAAAGACAATATCTCAAATCTTCCATGAAGAGTCACAGCACCACCAGCCGCCGCCGGCTGCCTGAGACTAACATTCGTAACCGTCCCAGTTCCGCTCAAAACACAGATCCCACGCTGACGGCGACGAGCGTAGTTCGTAACACATTCAAAAACATCAGAACCGCTAGCAACTTCGAGAATATGAGCTCGGAGAGTGTTGGCGCTTTCTCTCGTAATAATCACCGGCGGTTTTGCCTTGTTTTTCGACCCTGGTGGTCTGCCACGTGGACGACGTCCGACTACGTCACCTGGACCCGCAGCCGAACCTAACTCCATGCCTTGGCTTCGGTCATCATCCTCGTTGGATGAAAACGGTGCCGCACCACCAACCCCACCACCACCACGATTCGATTCTTGTTCTTCGGAATCGTGATGGTGCTGGTGATGCTGCTGTTGAAGGTGCAACTCTTGTCTGTGAAGGTTTTGCATAAAGCGCGATGCACTTCCTAAATCCAAACCAGCCATCAAGGAAATAGAGAGAGAAAATATAGATAAATATAAATTAAAAAGTTTAATTTATATTATAAAAGAAAAACAAAATAAAACAAAACAGAAAACAAGGAATTTAATTAGTTTTATTTACTATAGAGAAAAACTATAGTAAACAAATAAATATATATATATTATATATATCATTTTTTTTTTGTCTAAGATCACTGTGTTGTTGTTGTTCACCTTGTTTCTGTTTTGTTTATTGATGTTTGTGATGTGAGTGTGTGCATAAATAATAGAAAATAGACATATAGAAGAAAAAAAAAGGTGATCTATTAGGTGGTGGAATAGAAAAACATTTTTGGGTTGGATTGAAAGGAGACAGAAGAACAGCTATGGAGTGAAGAGAACGAAAAGGGGAGAGAAGAGAAGGTGATGAAGAGGTATGGGAGATAGAGAGAGAAATGAGGTTGAAGGAGACAAAAGACTCAATAACAAGTCATTTTTTTGGGCAACCTAAAGATTATAAAATATGAACAATTAGTTGGAGAAAACTCTTTAAGACGCTTTCTTATACTCCAATCTCTTCTTCACTCTCATTCTTATACCGTGACCACAACGCGTTTTTATACTCATAATTTTTATTTTATTTTAAATTTTTTTAATAATTATATTAACTTTTTTTTTCATTTTTTAAGTATATAATAAATAAAAAGTCAACAAATATATGTATTTTGTCTAATTTATAGATAAAATATATTATTTTTATTTAATTCTCTTTTATACTTATATTTGAAGGAAGTATTGTCTTTTCTGTGGGTTTTATTATTTCTGGATTCTGTTTTTTTCTTCTATTAAATATGTATAGGGAATATTGAATTATATTTTGTTTTTGCTGTAATAAGAATATTTATTGTGTTCTTCTGTTAAAGTTATTAAAAAGTAAGAAAGTCGTTTGGAAAAATTATTTTTTTAAATTTTTATAATAATATTAATGACTTTGCAAAAGAATATAATAAAATTAGATCGTGTTGACTTTGCAAATATATATTTTTACTTTATAAAATATATTTACTTTAGCTGATTAATAATAAAATGTGAGATTTTATGATAGAAAAAATATAAAATATTATTTAAAAATCTATTTTATTTGAATAGTTTTAAATAAATAATCCAATTAATATTGAATGGATTAATATCGGAAGATTAATGAGACTAAATATTTATTTATTTATTGATTAATTCTAGTTTACTTTTTAGCAAAGTTTTATGATATTAATTTTTTGAGAGAATTTATAAAAGTAATTTATGACAACAACTTATAACATTATTTATACGATTCTTTTTAAACTTATTTTCGTAAATTTTTTAAGATAACTAAGTTTTATTTTGTATTTTAATTCAAAATATAAAATATAAATAATAATAATAATAATAATAATAATAATAATAATAATAATAATAATAATAATAATAATAAAATTATGCATGTTTATTTAGATCTGTCAATCTGATAGATTTTAAAAAAAATTGTGGTATGTGACCTAACCTTTTTAGTTAAATAGACTTATAAAAAAGCCTAAGCATTTTCTATTTTAAAAAGTCTTGTCTGACCTAGATATGTGTAGGATAGGTCGTAGGCTCATGTTAGTTGATCTGACTTATTCTCACTCCTAAATATAATCACTGCAATGGAAAAAATCTTTAACTTGATTAGATATTAGGTCATTACTACAAAACGCACAAACAACAAAGTCCAATTCACCACAGTTCTTTCCAACACCGTGGTGACATCTCTAAACTCAGACGCTAATATTTTTTTTTTATTAAAAATTGTTAGAATATAATAACGGTTATTGTCATAACCGTGGTTATACAATCAAGCTTTCTTGGGTTTGAACCTCAGTGTCCTCAAATATATTATTCATTTAACGTTAAAGCGCGTCTTTCTATTTTATTTATTTTTTAATATAAATAAAGGGTTACAACTTCGGTTGTTTTGTTCAACCGTTGTGATACATATATATATATATATATATATATATATATATATATATATATATATATATATATATATATATATATATATATATATATATATATATATATATATATATAACCATAATTGGTAATGTAAATTGTTGTGAACATATTTATATATAAGTGAGTTAACACTCACTCTTTGACAGTAACGCCATATCTTTCACAGCAAAATCCTATAACCCATTTTTTCTCTTCTTCGTCATTAGCATTCTTATTCTACAGTATAGTCGTCAATCTTGTTCTTCTTACATAAAGGTATTCTTTTTTTCTCCTTATTATCTCATTTTTCGTATATTTTGTTGTTATGTTTCACATGATTTTCCTATTATTTTGTTTTTGTTAGATAATTTATGCTTTTATTGTTGTATGTTGTGCTATGTTGTTGTTGCATGTTGTGTTATTGACAAATAAGTTTGCAGTTTCACATGTTGATAATTTTCATGGTGTTTGTAGGACTCAAGAAAAGTGAATGAAGAATCAATAACAACAACAAACTTCATCTAGTTTGAGAAGCTATGAGAAGAAATCACTACTACGAAAAACCTATTTAACAACAGTTGGGAAAGATATATAACCACGCAAGACCAGACGTTGTTATGTAGCGTGTGGTTGTATATGTGGTACTTACAATCACGGTCATGAGACGGTTGTTGTATTCTAGAAAGCACGTGACATATCACAATGGTTCTTTAACCCAACCGTTGTGATAGAACTAAAGGTCCCATGTTCGATTCTCAACAATAATATTTTATAATTTATATTATTTTGGTTACTGTTCAATATACAATCACAGTTAGGTTTTATAATTGTTGTCAAAACTTCCTCTATTTTAAATTTGCAATTCTCTACTTCTCAAATTCTTCCAATTTTTATCCTGTAGCTATTATAATCATATCAGATAATTTACAACAACCCGTATTTTTGTTAACCATGCAGAAAGAGCATAAAAACAGCTAACATTGTACATCAAAAGCCATGATTAATATTTACATCAAAGACAATACTTTTAAGTCAAAAGTAATATTCACATCATCATATACAAAAATTAATAAGTCATTAGCACATATCAATAAATCAAATTGCAGGACCCTTAAACACATTATGGATATACGTCCAATGTTTACGAAGATCGACAAAGTCCTCAATAGGGAATGGTGTTACGTCGTTAAACATCTACATAAGAAAGAGCAAAAAAGTGTTTAAAATATATGTCAACTTATATATTAATATATGTAAACATAATATGACATATATACCTTATGCCATGAATCAACAATGCCGGAAAGGACAATGTTTAACATATGTTTCATGACATAATACCCACACTCAAATGTCCCAGGTTGTTTCCTCATCTACAAATGAATTTAACCACACACGAACGTAAATGAAAGAAACATGTAATTGGGTCACTTACTATAGGAGAGATCCATGAGGGCTTTCTTCTAACATTGTTCATCATATTCACTTGCTCCACAATATTGTACATTGAATATGAATTAAACATATTACATGCTAAACTACTTACAATATCAAAGAAAATGAATTAAACATACACTTACGAATTAATAATCTCTTTCATTTTCTTGTTGAGGTGATCGTGCAAGGAACACAATACAATTATTATATTCATCTTAAATGATATTATGACCAATTGATAATGACCACTGAATAAACATGAGCATATATATTATTAGTATTTGCTAAAACAAAATTAAATATAGAATGCATAAACATCAATTACAAAAATATACTTACGAACAGAGAAATGGTGCGAAGTAACATTCTTTTCCTCCCTCATTTAACCGTTTTTTCAAGTACTCTTGAATATCTTTTGGTTCATTATACGCCCATCGAATACAAAGTGGATCCAATATTCCATAAATATTCGTTTTATTTAACTCTATAAAAACACGGTGAGTGTACCTAAATGGTTAAAGAAAATGAATAAATTAATTGAGGAAATACCAAAAATGATAATGTGTATATTCAACTATATAGTTATGTGCACCAAACTTGCAATATCCCTACGTCCAGAAACTTATATCCACCGAGAAAATCTCTTACATCTTCAGGATTATAATAGAATAAATCCACATATGGACAATGTTCTAGCGGGAGAGGTTGCACATCATTCATCACCGTAATGTTCAAGTATAACATGGTGATTTCATTTGAGATAGGGTTCAATAACTCATTGCGGTTAGCTGGAGGGGGAAGGGGCTGAACAATTACTTCCTTTTGTATAAGCACAACGTATAACACTTCTACTTGAAGTTTGATCATGATCATGATCATGATCACCATCAATATAACATTGATCTTTGTTTGTACGTTGTTCGAGGTTTTCACTTAATCTTTACATCATAATATTCAGTTGGAACAATATATATATATATATATATATATATATATATATATATATATATATATATATATATATATATATATATATATATATATATATATATATATATATATATATATATATATATATATATATCATACATTTCCGATAAAATATTAAAATTTCAAGTAAAGCACATACTGAATATAACTCTTGAAACCTTTGCACATCTTTCTCCCTTTTTCCCTCTCCTCTTTAAACACCCTCTTTTTCTCTTCTAGTTGCTTCTAAATCTTTTGTTTTTTTGCATTTAATTCCGAGCTTTCGGTACTTTTTCTTTGAGATCCAAAGAATAACCTCAAGCCAAGACATTCTCCAAAACCACTGACACGCCCACCATGCTCCTCTGTTCTGATTGCTTCTACTAATATGTCATGTTGTGCTTCTGGAACAAACGTGCCTTCACAAACCGCCTCAGCTAAATTATCCTACACAACATGAACAACTTACATATATTGTTACTAACACATTTAAATATCAAATAACATAAGCAAAATAAATCATACTTTCAATTTTCTCGGCAACTACTCTTGTTGTCTCAGAGGTGTAATCTCCATTTTGTCTTAATCGAGCCCTCTTCCATTTT